TCCATTTGATCGAATTTTTATTGTTAAATAAACATTTAAAGTAACTTCTTCACTTACACTTACACTGTTAATCTATACATTGTTAAATAAACATTCACTTAAATATTAAAATATAAAAATTTATCTAACAATAAGTTTCAGATGCATTGCTTCTTTCCATTGACTTTCGCGTATCGCTTTCAAAATAATAATGTACTTCATTTTGGTCGCAACTGAGACACCGAAGGATTTTAAATATTAGGTCGATAAAATAATACTTTAAAAGAAAAAGTGTTTTCCTATTCTCCTATAGAACGTATACTTAAACTTTCCATGTGTCGATAAAAAAGATCGTTCCTAAATTTCAAATTATCCTCTGAACGTGCTTTCATGATAAAAACTCAGAAAACAGAACGTGGATAAATAGAAAAAAAAGAATGTGTCTCACTTTAACGCGACGATGAAAGGGAGAAAAGAATCAGGTTCAAGATCCGACCAATGGGATACGCGTTACGTTACTCTTTAGAGATTTCTTATTAAGGATTGTAAGGCACATATCACAGTCCATAGTTGAAGCATATGAGAAGCAGCAAAACATTATGTTTGAGGTAGCGTTCATTGGTTGTTCCAGAAGAAATATGTCCAAGTTTGCATAAGAGGAGTGAGAGGTTGGAAAGCATAACGGTTGGAAGGGGGCTAGGGTACATAACATATATTACTTCTATGGCGCGAAATTTAAATTAAATAATCATTTTTATGTTTGAAGAACTGAAAAAAAGGTTAATCTCAATAATGTTCTCCTCAAATGGATTGAATATTAATTTGTCCAATGATGTTATAACACCATCAGTAATAGGTTCGATAGTATTTATTTAACCGAAAAATCCTGGCCTAGCATTTGAAAATAGGTGACACTCATTAAGAATATGAAAGAAAGACCTCTCAGATCCTCCGCATAAACATTGTCTAGGAATTGTCCAATTCATTCGGTCAAAATGTTCGGTAGTGCAAATATGAGATGATCTTAGTCTATTAATAAGACATATTAGCCTTCTGTGCTGTTTGCTGAACCCAGAAAACCAAAGAAGGGCAGTCTTGGAATTCACATATTGCAGGTATCTATTATAGGAAGCAGTGGGATAATTACAGTTATATGACCAGTTATGTTTACATGTGGAGTGATAATCATCACGCAAATATACAAAGAGATTTCTAATTGGTATTTCAACTTTTTTAAGGAAAGGAATGATTGAAGCTCTTTTCGCTGTTTGATCTGCAACTGCATTTCCCACAAGACCACAATGCCCTGGGATCCACATAAATTCGACTTTTTGGTTTAAATCAAACAAATATTGGAGTTGCGATAAAATACGGTAAGGAAGAGAAGAGTGATTTTGAGTTATTCTTTTATTTTCAATTATATTGATAACATCTAAAGATTCTGTTAATATGACTGCCTGTGGATATTTGTCAAAAATAATTTTTTTTAATGCATAATTAACTGCTAAAAGTTAAGTTGTGAGAGGACTTAAAAGAGAAGGTAAAGCGAGACTAAAATTATTATTATTTTGTGGGATGTAATATGCAAGACCAGTATTTCCATTTTTCTCGTTAAAAGACCCATCAGTGTATATGTGTGTGTATCCAATGTAATTTTCAGTTAGAAAATCCTGCAATAATTGGTATCTTTGTTCAGATTGCTTTAAGGTGTGACAAAAGTAGTATCACAGGTGACCTTTAGTTGATGCAAACCCCAATTAAAATCAAAGTACAAAGGTTTCCCAGGTAAAGATCCCAAATTCATTAAAGGTGCAACTCGAATATAAGTAGAAAAGATACCAGAATTATATATATAGGCTTTTGGTTTTTTGCCTATAGATTGTAGCCAAGGGTTAAGTAACGTTAAAGAATTCTTTATAGTCTTCAGACCTTCCTCGTAGTCTCGACAATCAGTGTAAAGGAATACATCATCAACATATATGCCAACCTTGATATTGGGTCCAACATGATGTAATATACGGCTTGTATAAAGATTAAACAAAAGGGGTGCAAGTACTCCACCTTGTAGAACACCTATTCCTGCGATAGATGGTTCTGTTTGGTCAGGAGGTAAGTAGAGGTCTCTTCTTGTTGTAAGAAAATTATCAAAATTTAAAATTCGTGAAGGTAATCCAAGTTCCGTTAATTGTTGAATGAGAATTTTAGGTATAACACAGTTTATGTCAAGCGACAAAGCCAAAACCGATTTGCCTACATAATATCACATAACACTTGCATAATATCAATAGTAACCATAGCAACACAGTCCATAGAGGATCGCGTTTTCCTGCATCCATATTGGCATGACGGGAGCCATCGATGATGATCAATTAAATATTCAAAACGAAAATGTACCATTTTCTCTAAAAGCTTACATAAATTAGAGGTTAGAGATATTGGACGGTAACCATTTCCACCCGGTTGGGGGATAAATGTCACTTTGGTTTCTCTCCACTCATCCGGGAATTCCGAGTACTTATACATATTATTAAAAACCCTAAGCAATAGTTCTAATCCAGCTTTAGTTAGTTTTTTAATTATTTTGTAAGAAATGAGATCCATACCCGGAGAGGTATCCTTAGTGCAAGAAGTAAGCGCTCTGCTTAAATGATCCATACAAAAAGGGAGGTTCATGATATTTTCCATATCTGAATCATCAGCATATGGTATTGTGATGGGAGGTAAGTCAGGTCGAGCAAGTTCATTTTGAAGATTGAGTAATTCGGGTGAGTTAGGATCATTATATACCTGGGTTGATTTTGCAATGTTACGAGAATTGAAAGCTCTGACCACACTCCAAATGCGCTTACTTCCATTGAAGGGTCAATAGAATTTTTTAATTTATAATGCAAGTTCAAATTGGGTATCTACAATGTGTATTCCACGGGTAAGCCAGTTATAATTGTTATCACAAATTCTCAATATTTAAATAATACATTAATTAAATTAAATTATTTATTTCTTTGAGAAATCCTTTAATCCATTAGTTTTATTATGCCTAGGAAATGGAGAACTAGCAACAAGAGAAGTAGATGGCAGTATGGGGCTGGTAGGATTGTAACGCGTTTTAAAATTTTCCCTTGGATCTTTGGACATTCCTTGTAACTTAGAAGGACTGTCGTGAGAGTTGTTAGAATTTTCCATTAATTCTTTTTCACTGTTAGTCGAAGATGTTCTGATAGGGCGATGAATACCCCTTCCAGCCAGCTAAAATTCTGCATCCAGAAAGCTAAGATTACGTAAGTAAGTGGTTCTGGCAACTTGAAATTCATATTTAAATATTGGGCATTCATTTGATGAGGCAAAATGCTTATTTTTGCAATTATTACATTTAGGGTTTGGGTTACAATTCTGGTACTGATCGGATTCATGCCATTCAGCACAAAATTTACAAATGGGGTGAGTAGATTGACATTGTTCAGCAGTGTGGTAAAATATTTGACATCTAAAGCAACGTTTTGGTGGAATAATTATAGGACTGACCTTGAACATAAAATTAATTATTGATACTGTTCTTGGAATATAAGTGGTGGAGAAAGTAATTTCAACCGAATCTATAGGTTTTTTATTATAGTCAGTCCTTCGTTTTAATTTAATAATATTGCTACTTGACTTAGGGTCAATGATTGTTGCAAGGTCAAAAATTCCCAAATCTAGGTCAATTGGTTTTATGTATTCCCTTTTATTAAAAAGTGTTGAAAGGGGGGAAGCTATATATCTAGATTGAGGATGTGCAAAATTTTCTAATAATTGATTAGCATCTAAAAAATTTTCACAGAATATTTTAACACTGTTAATTCCATTAGGGTAGATTTTAACATTTCCAGCAACAATATCGCGTATCATCTTGGCCAATGATATGGGACTAAATTTCCCAATATTTTCATTACGTCCAGCACACTTCAAAAAGACCAAGTATGGTGGTGGCATAATTTCCGAGTAACGCTGATTGTTGGGTGGATTAGATGCGAGGTAATTGAATAGTTATATTTGAATATTTGTGAGAAAAGAAAATTATAAGGAAAGCAAGCTGTAAATATATATTTTGTAGGCAAAAATTTAATAAGTTGTTTTTATTGTAAATGCGTGTAGTAGCATTTGTTTACTGTGATACCTTTAATAAAACTGCCAGAAAAAATCCATAATTTATTTAACTATTTATTGTGTCATATGCAATCCAATGTAAGCCAAAATCAATCTTATCCATGTATTACAAACTTTCCACATGCTAATATTATGTGTTAGTAAATCAATCCAAATTTTTACTTCGTATGTAATATTGCCACAACTTATTTAACATATATTAATAAATATTGTCATTAAGATAATTTTCACTGAATTTTAAAAACATAAGAACTTTTTAATATTTTAATAGAATTTAAAAGCAGGAAAAACAGTCCCGCAAACAAATATATAACAAAATACGTCTACGTCGTACAGTAGTCACGACGCGAATCATCATATAATTCTGTGTCAAATAACAGTACATTGTGCATCAGGGGATATAAGTGTGCTTTTATTTATTGACAGCGATGTTTGTTGAACGAGTCGTAGCCGAGGTGCTTATCGAAATCAACATCTAACGAGCCCTAAATGAACTATGTAACGATGTAAATCGTTATTTATATTGTTTGGTATCTGTCAGCGTTTTAGCCCCTCTCGATCAGTCAGCTGTTTAGTTTTTCGTGTCAGCGTGCCGTGAACATGTGTTCTAGCAGTTTTTCTGCGTGAGGATCTGCGCATGTTCGTGCCGCCTAACAGCGGTTCTACATGTATGCGAAGTTATAGTATATCTGCTTTCAGTTTACATACAAAAACTTGAATAATATTTATATATTATAATACTATTATATATAAATATAATAATATATATTATAATACTGTAGAAATGCGTTATTGTGTAGTTTCCAACATCATCACGATTTGTATATTTGTGTTTTTTGGTTAATTTAAGAATTAATAGAAATAATAAATTTTCTTACTGGATCAACGTCCCAAATAATAACTGTCATGTCCTTGGAGCCCGTCGCCAGTTTAAGACCATCAGGTGAAAATTTACAGTACCATACTTCATCACAATGGTCGTTAAGAATTTGTGTGGTATGACAAGGAAATTCTTCTTTGCTGCAACTATGGTCCACTAACAACGATGCACTTTCTAAACCCGACTGTAAAATAAAAGAGAAATATTTCACAGTGTTAAATTAAATGATAGAGTAATCAAGTATGAATTGCGCAATCCACACCTGACAATGTGTGACGTGGTATGTACACTGTTGATTTTGCATTTCTACAGCTTGACAGAGAAGAGAATGAAGGCGACGAGGAGGTAGCATAATTGAAGGAGGAAGATACCTTTGTAACCTATCCATCAAAGCAGCCCTTGAAGCTGAACCTTTGCCGTCCCATCCCGCTCGTGTCTATTAAGAGAAAAATCATCATTAATTACGAAATATCAATTAAATTATTTTCGTTAAAAATTTTACAAGGTAATTTAAATTTTCCTAAACCTGTAGTTCATCGCGATCACTGCACATCATGAAAGCTGATAGCTGATGAACGCGACCAGTATTATGCCCTAAAGGTGTTAGTTCATTTCTAAGAACTTGTAATGCTTCTAATACCAGACCCTCTTCAAGGTATTCCAGATACTTTTGTTCCAACAGCAAAAACTTCATTTCCTACAGAACGTCAATTAATATTATCATCTATTAATCCATACTCATGTGCTAAAATTATTTAAATGATCGAAGCTTACGACTAGACTTTGGCTAGCACCATTCAAAAAAGACTTAAGTTCGTTGAGATCATGATCGGCCTTATTCCAATCTCCATCCATAACATGTTGCCGAAATTTCGCGGCTGCTGGATGATCCAAACGACAACCTGATTCTTGCATTAGCAAATCCGCGGTTCGGCTAAAATACACAATTAGTTTCATACTTTTTCTAAAACCTCATAGTATATCATATTTCAAAGAAATCAATCAAACATTTCGATAATTTCGAAGATTCAAATGGAGATTCAAAATCTCATTTTCTTCATTTACTTTAATTATGGATACATTTTTTATATTCATAACTTTTCTTATATTCTTTATTCTACATTATTTATTTTTATCGTTTTTATTTGCAAATTGATTCGTATGGCAATAAACTACTGAACGAACACCGAAGTTTGCAACAGGCTAACGGCCATAAGTTCAGAACTTAACATTGTTAACCTCTTCACGGAGAGAAATAGATGGTACGGGGTGCTATCTAGATAGTACCAGGTATCATATTTGATCTTACATATACGGACATATATCTAGATTCTATCAGTTACTATCCAGATTGTACGGAGTAACATAACCATACTTTTTGTAACATTTTTGATAGTACCGAGTAGCATAATAATGGTACCGGATAACATCTATTTTTTACCATCTTAGGATCATAAGTTTTTACCATCTATTTATCTTCCTGTTGTTAACTTCCCAGAAGTTTTAAATATTCTCAGATTTTTAAGTTAACAGTGTTAACTTGCTGAAATTTATAAAGCTAAATTTGCCGAAAATTTTTTTAGTAAGTTTGCATAAATTTTACAAGTTTTATCTGATAAATTTAAAATTAAAAAAAAAATTTCTTCAACATGTATGTACTTTATTACAGCTATACCTTCTCTGTAGGCAAATGTAATTAAAAAATATTGCGCAGCCCTAGCTGCCATAGAAAACAACTGCACATGAAAATAGATTTTTAAGTTTACCATAGAAATTTTGTGTAAAATTACAAAGTAAAACTTCCAGCAAATTTACTTTTCTAACTTTCAACAAGTTAATAGTGTTAACTTTAAACTCTGAGAACGTTTATGCTTTTTTTCATTTATGCTGATATGAGTGAATATAACAAGAGGGACCTTCACGGAATCAAAACAAAATTCAGAAACACTTTTGATTTGCTTCTGATCGGAATATTAGAATCAAAAGTCAACTTTCTTTAAGTTTTGATTCCGAAATTAGAATCAAAAATCAACTTAGTTTTGATTCTGTTTGGTGAGCGTAAAAAAATCCATCAGATTACTTCCGGTTTTCTGATTGAAATAAATGAATTGGAATTTTTTTTAGTACGAAGAGTAATCTGACGGATTTTCGTTTCGTTCCCCAAACGGAATCAAAAGTAAATTATACTTTCGTATAGTTCAATAAACGGAATCAAAAGTACATTCTATTTTCGTTTCGTTTCAAATATCGAAAGAAACGAAATCAAAATTCTACTTACATGAAGGTCACTGATAAATAAACAATAAATTCAACTCTCTCTCATCAGAGAACATTTAAGACAGTCATAAATCGATGCAGAGTAAAGAAAATAGAGAAAAGTTTATTATAAAGTGAATGAAAAGCACATACTCAAGACCAACTGTTTTTAAATGTTGCCCAATAAGACGCACAATGTCTTGGTTTGTTTTGTCCATGACTTTCGGTAGTCCTAAGGAAGGGCTCGCTTCACCGTTGAGCCCATTTACATCGTTGTCCGTTTCTGTAGATATATTGCCATTTGTCTGAGGTCCACCAGAATCTGATGTCCCACCATTTTGCTGAGGACTGGAAGAAACAGGTCCACCATTAGAGGTTTGCTGCATCACTCTGTTTAAATAATAATTACGTTAATCTTTTTTCTATAATTCTAGTTTGAAAATTCAATATTTTAAACTTTTATTTACTCTTTATAACTTAAAGTGTCTAAAAATAAACATTTATAATTTGCATAAAAAATCTAAAACTTTTGTTTACAATAATTTTCATCTTCTTTTACAGATATCCCTAACGTTTAAAGTGGTACACAAATATCCGAAAGCATTATCATAGTTATATGTATTGATATAAATTATGTTCAAATTATTAGTTAATTTAGTCGAATTCTCAAGAGTTTCCATTTAATTTAAATCACGAAAATTACATTACACTTTTCTCTCTTTTTCAAGGGAAACGCCTCCTAATATCCCATCACGGTGTGTCCGAAGCAACTTTAATTGACATTGTTTTGTATGAGATTTTTTTGTGGTTTATTGTTCCCTAACCCCCTAAGTACCTTAGTGCAAGAACCAGACATAGATCCAAAAAGCAGTTGGGACTTGGCCCACGAAAATTTAAACGTACAGTTAAAAAAACGTTATTATAATTGAAGTTTACTGGAGATATACAGTAAGAAAAGCACAAGTGTAGTCATAGGAAAGCATGCGTTACGCATAAGTTTTTCTCACTCGCACTCATGGGCTGTGACTAACATGGTACTTTTCTTACTGTAGATGGGCGATTTCACGTGAGATTCCGTCGACCCTTTAAAATCGTCAAAATATATTTTTTTCTTGTTCTGTAGTGAAAAAAAAGAGATACGTATTTTTTTTGACAAATTTTTGAGTTATGAATTTTCAAAATTTCAGTTTTGTAAATGTAGATCTATTGTCAATGGCTGATAACTCGAAAAAAATGGATTTTTTAAATTTTTTCCGAGAAAAGAAAACTTTATACAATATAGAATTTTTGTATTTTCTAAAGTCCTGATTAATAAAGTATTAAATGTCCTTCAATTTAAATTGTACCACCATATTTACAGACTATCCAGGGTAAATGTGTGTCTGAAAACTTTTTGGATTCTGATGTTTATTTTATTTATTTATTTTTATTTATTCAAATTAACGGGACATGCCCTTTCCTACAATAGTACTTATTATAAACTAAATACAAAAGTATAATAAAAAAATGTTGAATAAAAAAAAATTGTATTTTTGTTTTCTATAAGTATTAATATATATATATCAAAGTATACATATATGTATATAAAAGCATATATACATGCGTATGTAATGTATCCTGACGCGGAAGGGGGTATTTTCTTGAAAAAGGACATGTTTTCGTAAATTTGCTTATTCTCAAAACAATTTTTTAGAATTTAGAAAACAAAGAAACGTTTAACGTCAATTAAGAAGAAGATAGCCATGGTTATTTTTTCTTGTCAAATATTGATTTTAATTGTCATGTTTATAAACAGTTAAATGTTAATGAATAACAGAAATAAAGACTTTAAAAATTCTGTTTAAAAACTATCGCTTTTTTAAAAAATTTTCAGTTATATAGCAAATAAAGTTATTATATTATAATGAAATAATAAATAATTAGTTTTAAAATAAATTATTATTGGTAAATTTTTAATATTTATTTGTATTTCACAAGTTTCGAGATTTTAAGATTTCTTAGCTAATATCAAATTACAACCTAATCTAAATTTATAGATAATTATGATTAAAAAATAATAAATTTCAACATTATTATTTTAAATATTTATCTCGTGAAGTAAAAAAAATTATTATTTCTTACGTTTATTAATAAAAAGTAATTTTTTAATATTATTAAAGTTTATTACTTCTTATTTAATTAAATATAAATAATTTTAGTCAAATAATCTGTTTTTTATAAAAATATTAGAAAACATCTAAAATTGATTAAAATTGTCTTGAACGCTTGTTTATCTGTTTATTGTTATCTATTTTTTATTAAAGGTTAAATGTTCTTTTATTTTTTTAATTCTAAAAAAAATCTACTTAGTAGTCAGAGTTGTGAGAGCAGCAGTCACGACTTCGAGCAAAGAATTTATTACTACATTCGTAGCTCTGAATAATCTGTTGTCAAATAATATGAAACAAAACTCTGATTACTGGCAAAAAAAAGTTGTGATTATTGCCTGCAGAGCATTCAGTGCTGTGTGGAGAACTTTCAGATTTCTGGAATTTAATTTTTTGGTTTTAAGAAAATATCAAAAATTTTATTTTTTGATGACCTGAATTGCAGATATCGTGTACGCCAATCACAAATAGGGGAATTTTTAGGCGGCTATGACAGCAAGATAATCCATAATAATTAAGGAATAAAAATTTTTTTTAATAGTTTAAAGCCACTTTTTTTAGGTATAAAAAGTTTGAAGTAAATAAAATAAATTTTATACCTAATAAAAAAAAATGTTTAAGAAAAGTCACTGAGATGTGGAACTAACCCCTTAATTTCTAACTTCGTATTCAACCAACTTCCCAGTGGAAAAAAAACCATGTCTGCCAAATAATGTTCTGAAACATTTTAAGAACATAGATCTTCAAATAATGTTCTAGAACATTATTTGGCAGAGATGAAACGTTCTAAAAATGTTATTAAAACGTTTTTAAAACGAACATGGTTTTTTGCCCACTGGGTTACTTTTCTGGATCCTATAACATTGAGAAGACAATTTTGAAAACAAATTGAAGGGACCGGGGATAGAACCCGGGACACCGCGCGCCGAAGACATAAACAAAGCAACCTAACCAACTAACCTAATCAACGAACTGTAAGGGGAAAAATATCTTCCTCAAACTATACGCGCATAGTTGGCAGGATAATTTAAATCTGATTTCACATTTCATATATCATATTTACAGTCAAACTCCTGTAAGGTGAAATCTCTCTAAGATGGAATCACAGCGAGCGGTGCTGTGTCGGTGAGAGTTGTGAATGTGTGAGTAACGGAAAACTCTGTGCCGAAAGCTTCGAGTGCCCCTTACTTCTCAACAAAGTGAATTTATATGTTATATTTTTTTCCTTTTTTAATATCTTTTATATTATTGAAATAAAAATAAGATTTTTTTAATTAAAATGATACGTAATCCCCAAAAATATAATTTATATTTTTATATTTATAATATAAAATTATGTATTTAAAAAAATTCGATTTTAAAAATTTGATTTGAACATCAAAATTAAAAGAAAAAAAGTTTTATATTTCTATTAAATTGGAATATTTGTTGTATAAAATTATTACAATTTTTATTCCATACAAAAAGAAACAACTGTTTAAAGTTTCTTGACACATCCTAAAATATTTGCTCACTAATAGCTTTTTAATGAACCCCTCTAAAGCGGAATGTGCTAATTGCTTTCCACCTTAGAGGAGTTTGACTGTATTTTACTTTGCTTGTTTATAATATAGTTATCATAATATATATGATATAAATAATAAGAACTTTTAAAATGTTGATTTTTTGATAATTTGTTTTTTTTAGAAATTCCATCTTTTAGTTATTTAAACATTTGAAAATTTTAAGTACTAAAAGATCAAAAAATTTGAAAATTCTATAAAATAAAAATTTGAAAGTTTATTTAGAAATTCGATCTTTTGTTAATTTGAACTTTTAAAAATTTGATTGTAATTAAAAAAATTGTATCACATCTTTAATTCAACACACGTTACAATTTTCCAAAGTATTATATCAAACACACTACAAATATTTATCATTAAAAAGTTAATGTTAAAATTTTATAGGGTATCCACCGAATCTTTAAATCTTGAAATAAGAAAAAAACGATTTAAATTTAGTTATATACTTTGAACAACCCGTGAAAATAAATGAATAAATAACTACAAGAAATGTTTCGCATTAAACGTTTTACAGTCAAACACCTCTAAGGTGGAAAGCAATTAGCACATTCCGCCTTAGAGTGATTCATTAAAAAGCTATTAGTGAGCGAATATTCAGGGATGTGTCCAGAAACTTTAAACAGTTGTATATTTTTGTATGGAATAAAAATTGTAATAATTTAATAATAATTTTATACAACAAATATTCTAATTTAACCTTTATGGAACTGAGGAAAAAAATACCTTCTATGGACGGACGAGGCACCCGGGTACCTATGTTTAATTTATTGAAGATTTTGTATTAAAATAAGCAGTTCAATTAACTTATGTATAGTGGATGTTTTAATGAAAGTAATAATCACATAATATGAATACACTGTAAAAGAAAGTATTATTTTAAGGGCGAAAAGAGGTCTTATTTGGAAGGTCAAAAAATGAGGGCAAACTTAAAAATATGTCAATTATAAATTTGAAATGACTATATTAAGAATAACTTATTTCTTCAGTTTGACCTTTTTTAATTGTGTTTATGCAATTTTATAAAAAAAAGTTTGTTTTTTCGCTTCCGCTAGAAATTTTTCCGGATCTGTTCATAAGCAATTTGTGAGAAAATCGTGAAATATTTATTAAAATTTTTTTATACAGGTCTTAATTGTCAAAATTGGTCTGTGGAGCAAACCGGCCTATATCAGTTTCCCTTGCAACAGAAATTCACGAAGATTACCTATCGGCTAGAAAACTTCGTGCACGCTTTCGTGAATCTTTGTCCACTTTATGGAGATTTACGAAGTTTTAAAAAGTTCACCGACAGACGTTTCTTCGTGAACGACAACAATTAGTTGAAAATATTTGTTTTATAATAAATAAGATATTCCTTTAATTGAAATTTAATCCTATCTTATTATTTTCCTTATTGGAAAGATTGTTTATTGATTTTTTATACACTGAAAAAAATGTTGCCGAGAAATTCAACTACCATTAGGTAGTTGACTAGAAAGTTGTTAAAATAACTACTTTTTTATTTAATCTAATCATGTTCATGTAGTTAATGTAACTATTTTTAAGAAGTTAATAAGTAATAGTTAATTTTACGTAAATATGTAGTTAAAGTACAACTACAGGTCAGTAGTAAAATTAACTTTTTTAAGGTAGTAAAAACAAGTGGAATTGTAGTCAACTCAAAATTTGAAGAGTAGTAAATCCAACTACGATTCACCAGTTATATGAAATGTAGTAAAAGTAATTATTTTCTTTAATTAATATAACTACTTTTTGAGTTGTAAATTTTTTATTAATTTCTAAGCTTTTTTAGGCTTCAATAAAATTCTTGTTGTAGAATTAACAAGTCGTCTGTAATTAAAACTACTACTTTAAGTAGTAGATTTTTACTATTTTAATTAATTCAATAAACATAAAGAAGATTTTTGATGTAGAATTTACAAATCGTTTCAGTTAAAACTACACAGGAAAAAAAAGTCTTACTCCGAGCATAGTCTAATTTTTTATTTTGATTAGAAGCCGTTACGGTCTTAATGAAAAACGAGATATTAATATGACAAATATTTAGTTCCATTAGATTCAAAACAAGCCTTTGTGGTCTTGGACTCAATACAAAATTTTATTCGCTAGAAATGAGACGTTAAAAGTCTTCAATCAAGCCCATGAGGTCTAGATACTAGTGAGTTGTAACTAGACGTACAACAAAAGTGCCCGAGTGTAAAGTGTAATGGAAGCCTTTCAAAAAATGTGACGCCTCTATAGTTAATCGGAACTAAAAGAATTAATTCAAAAGACTTACATATTCATTCCTGTATAAAAAATTTAAAAACTATGTTTATAAAACATTTTCATATCATGAATTGTTGTTTGTGTCCTATAAATTCAGCTTTAATTGTTATCAGTGTGAAAATAATGTTATATATACAACATAATTTTATTACAATTTTCTCACAAATATAAAAATATATAAATTATATACTCTATGAGCGAGTTAGAAACTATATTCGGTCTAGTTTGTGTCCCATATTGAAACTAGCTTCTTTTCGGGTTTGAAACAAAACTTATTTTTTCCTGTGTACTACTTTAAGTAGTAGATTTTACTACTCAAAGTGGTACAATAGGCTTTAAGAACATTTTTGTTGTAGAATTAACAAATCTTTTGTGATTAAAACTACTACTTTAAGTAGTAATTTTTTACTATTTTAATTAATTCAATAAGCTTGAAAAACGTTTTTGATGTAAAATTTACAAATCGTTTCCAATTAAACCTACTACTTTCAGTAGTAGCTTTTACTATTTAAAGTGGTTCAATAGTTGCGCATCAACTCCCGCGCGAGTTATTTCGTCATTGCGCATAGTCACGTGATCTCCCTACAATCCGAAATGGCTGACGCTCAAGCAGACTCAGCTACTTGCACACTTTGTCCAGTTCCCGTAATATTTTTTAACAAAGGTAATGAAACTTCTGCTGTTACAATGTCAATATTGAAAAAAGTGTCTTGTGCTAATGTGAAAAAGTGGGTTAAAGTGGCGACAGAAACCGGGAAATCTATTGAGTGTAAAGACCTTGTTAATGCCAGTATGTGATGATATTATGACAACCATTATTTATAGAACTCAACGACTCACTCTTTGTCACTTGTAATTCAATCCTGGAAGCAGCTGATAATTTTTCAAGTGAAAATTGTACTGAAAATCTACAGGTATGTAATTTCCTTTTTATTAACCAATAAATTGATTTTTTTACATAAAAAATAAAAGGAAAATAGAAGTTTTTAGTGAATAGTACTCGTTAAAATGAATATATGAGGAGCTGGAAATTAGAACTCGCTCTCCGCTCGGATGGACTCCGTAGAGCCAGTCAAACATTCAAAAAAGTGATGAAAATTGAAATTCAAAATTTTGAATTTTGAAAAGTACTACATTATTAAAATTAAAAAATTATGTTTTAAAACTTAATTAAATTTAACAATTTAAATTTCTCAGTTTTTGGTCTCTAGAAACTAAAATATTCGTTTTATAAAAAAATTTCAAAGGAAAAAAAGATGCGCCTTTTCGCTATTTTGGTACTTTTTATTATTATTACTATTATTAGTATCAATAATATTTAAATTTCTTTTCAAAACTGCAATGAAAAATATATTTTACTTTCCAAATTTCTGTTTACTTCTTTTTAAAGTTATATTTTCTTTTCTAATTTATTGTAGAGCTTGAAACAAGCCCTTTTAGAAATCTCTGCTGGAAAGAAAATTTTAGTTGAATACAAAAAAATTCTACATTAACGATACATAGTCGCAGACAATTAGTAAATATTGCTGTTGCCAACTTAGTAAAAGTTTGTGGTAATTATCCGACTAGAGATGAAAAAATACAGTGTGCAAAATCAATTATTGAGGAATTTCCCAGTTTAAAAGATCCAGGGTCTACAAAAGGTTATGTAAGTTTATTTTTTAATATTATTACAAACGAAATTTTAGCACAATTTTAAATTTTTGGTGAAAAAAGCTGCATATTCAAAAAAATATATCTGTAAATTTTTGGTTCTTTTTGTAACTTGAACGTTTTTGGTGGTGTTATCATAAATTCTCGAAACAATTACACTTTAAATGTTGATATTTTTACTACATGAGGGTTATGAAAAAATTCTTTTAAATATAAAAATTTTCGCTGTTTAGGTTTTTTCTGGAATAAAATATAATAATTTTTAATATGAAATTTATAATGATCAGTTTTTTTATATATCAAGTTTTTTCGTTCATAGAAAATTGTGATTCGATTTTACACATCAGTTAAATTCTACGTTAAAAATACAAGTTTTAAATATTTTCTAGGAAGCTTTTTACGACCCTGTATCAAAAAGTGGTTATATTTTGTGGAGATTAAAAACATTGAACAGGAATAAGGTAGACAAAAATAAAAAAATTATGTAAATGCTGAAACAAATTCTGTGATTCAACCGGAAATAATAAATGTAAACGAAATTCGTGAAATCAAAGTGGATCCTAAAACGTTAAAAGAGAAATTAAGTTTTATGCAAAATTAAATGCTTGCAAAACATTACAGAAAAATGAAATTTTAGAAATTCTTCAATACTCATATAATTTAAGACGCAACGAATTACAAAAAATCATAGAAAATTTCCCGAGATTCCTTGATATCCTATATTTGGTCAGTTATCTCATGCTTGCGTTAATTTTTATAAGATTACTTAAATATACTCATCAAATAATTTTTTAATTTATCTTTGTCATTAGATACGTGAAGATTTCTGTTTAATGTATCCTGGTGTTGAGAAAAGAGATTTTAACGAAGATAAAGTAATTGAAGTTGCAAATCAAAACTTGAAGAAAAAACTTAATCGAGTAGAGCAAGGTATTGAATATTTTAATCGACAGTATATTATTTCATTAAAATCTTTGTCAATTTTTCACTATTTATTTGTATCTGTATAATTATTTTATTGAAATCGTTAAATGAATCTTTTATTATTTATTATTATTTGTAAAGGATGGGACCATGTTACTCAGGCTCACATACATTTATTGAAGTTACTACTACCGACAAATCGACGAAGGAAGGGTTGTGATAAGAGTGAATCAAGCAACGATGATGATTCTAGTGTAAATCGAATGATAGTATTTCATCAGATAAAATAAGTTAACTAGATCTAATATTCGAAAATTTGGAAGTATATTTTTCAGTTTTATTAGTATTTTAGAATAAATATATGTTAAACCTACGGTATGGATCATAAAATAATATTTGACAATGTTTTAGAATGAAATCCCAATAGAAGACCTAAAAATCCCTTCTTCACAACCTTGCCTTATTGCGGTAGGAATAAACAAAACTGCCATAATATCGTACTACATCGGTTTGGAAGGACACAAACTACCAATTGATGCAAAATTACCAAGTGAGGCTTTTGACATTTTGTTTAAAGCACATTTCGTTTTCGATACAGAGTTTCACGCAAGTCTAAAAGTTATGTTTGAATTCATGCAAATTCATTATTACCGAATGGATAGTAAAATCAAATTGTCAGCTAAAATGAGAAAAGTTCGAACTTGGTTGACGATGGATACTCAATTGAGTGAGAATAATTAGAAAAAACCATTCGTTTAGTTAAACCTTGAGACTGTTTGTTAATTTCTATTTTTTTGTTATATATTAATCAAAATGAGGTTTATATGTTACATCTGTTCACAAGGGTTTTCGACAGTTTCCGATACTACTCGGCATTTACATAGAGAACATGTTCTTTTACTGGGACAAAATTTAACTTTAAAATGTTGTATTCCTTCGGGCTCTTTAACTTATAAAACCTACAGTAGTTTTCGAAGACACATGATACAACATTCATATAGAAATTCTGTAAAAATATCAAATAGTTCACATGAATTCTGTACAGATACTACAAATCGCATTCGTCGCATACGAAAGATGAACTTTTAATTAAAGATATACGCGATGGTTCATATGTTGTCAATAACGAACTTCTATCATCCAAGGAGGCCTCTATCATTATCCAATTATAATATGATGATTTCGAAACAGTAAACCCTACAGGAAGCAAAACAGTAATTCATAAAATAGGAGCATTTTATTTTGTTATAAGAAATTTACCTTCTTATAAAAATTCTAGTTTGCAGAATATTCAATTAGCACCATTATTTCACTATAACGATATAAAGACTTTTGGGTTTAACAAAATTTTAGAACCTTTAATTAAAGATTTGAAAATATTTGAAATTATGGGAATAAAAGTCTTTGATCGGGTTATAAAAGGAACCATCGGTGCCCTTAGTTTCGATAATTTAGGCGGAAATGGCTTATTGGGTTTGATGGAATCTTTTATAGCTGAACATTATTGCAAAATTTGTACTGTTACAAAAGAAGACGCCCAAAACATGTTTGTAGATAATGAGAAACTCCATCGTTCTAAGTTTAGTTACGAAAAATACTATGATGAGTCGAAGAAAAAATTTTGTGATGGAATTAAATTTATATCAAAATTAAATGAGTTGAAATATTTTAAAATTTTTGATAGCATTACAGCAGACATAATGCACGATATTTTAGAAGGTATTGGGCCTTACGAACTAAAATTGTTTCTCAGATTCATAGTGGAAGAATTGAATCTAATTTCTCTACAAAAACTGAATAATCGAATTGCTTCTTTTTCTTACAGCTTAATTGACAAATCTCCCATTTCATTAGAAAAATTAGGCTGTTTAATTGAGGAACGAGCTGCCCAAAATTGGTGTCTTTTGCGATGTTAACCTCTTATAATAGGAGACCTCCTGTCTTCGTCTCATCCTGCCTATTCCAAAGTGATAGAAAAATTGAGAGTAATAGAATTACTTCTCAAGATTATGGACATTGTTTTTTCACCTATTATTACTGTGGGAATGATCGCTCAATTAAAACTTTTAGTAAAAGAACATCATTATCTTTTTAAATTAGAATTCGGACAAAAATTACTTCCAAAGCATCACTTTATGGTGCATTATGCAGCAATTATTAAAAAAATGGGTCCAATTGTTTTCTTATGGTCAATGCGATTTGAAGCCAAGCATAACTATTTCAAAATGTTGTGTCACAGTTACCATAATTTCAAAAATATATGTAAAACTTAAGCCGAAAAACATCAGCGATTTATGTATCATCACTGGAAATTAAATTACAAATCTCTTAAGTGAGAATTAAATGTGAGTTCCGGTTGCAATGCCTTCGAGATATTAGCGGAAAATTTAAAAAAAAATTTAACTATCCTTGCCCCACTATTGGGGCAAGGATAGTTATTAAAATTCTTTTTACGAAAAATAATCAAAAAAAGACATTAAATTTGGGGTTTTTTTTAATTTTATTGGATAAAAGCACCTCAAAACACTTCAAAGCACTACCAAAAAAATTTTTTGGACATAAATAAATATTTAAAACAGTTAATATCTGAAACAGTGTTTTAAACAGAACTGAGACATTTTAGAAAAAACAGGATTTTCACAAATAAACACGTAGCTTCCACAAATGATATCGCATCAAGATCAAATTTTTCTTGACGTCTTTTGGTGTTAAAACAAGTATATATGATAAATGGTTCCGTTTTTGAACATGCCGTGTAGGCAATAGAGCCACTAATTATCCTTGCCCCATCCTCCCCTAAAATCTACTACTTCAAGTAGTAGTTTTAATTGCAAAAGATTTATTAATTCTACAAAAAAATGTTCTTAAGGTCTATTGAACCACTTTCAGTAGTATAGTTTACTATACTTAAAGTAGTAGTTTCAATTGCAAAATATTTATTAACTGTACCAAAAAAATGTTCTTAAAGCCTAATGAACCACTTTAAGTAGTAAAATCTACTACTTTCATCTTGAGTTGTTTTAACATTTTTAAATTGAGTTAATACAATCACAAAATGTCATACTACCAATTACATTTTTCATTGGTTTAACTATTTTTATATAGTTAATAGAACCGTTTAAATTCAGTTGAGGACCTATTGTACTACACAGAGTAGTTAAAAAGTAGTAAAACCTACTAGTTTTTTTTCAGTGTATTTAGTGACGTTTTCCTTACAATTAATTCTCTAAACAAAAAAACTGGCCGGTTTGCCCCAGTGGGGTGGCCGGTTTACCTCAGGGGTGGGTCAAATCGGCCAGTTTGCAAATTTTTTTAAAATTGATGCAGCAAATACACTGAAAAAAAAATAGTATTGAATCATGAAAATTTTACTTGCTTCAAGTAAACCGTGGAATTGAATAGGGACAAGTCAATTACGGCATTGGTTCAAGTAAATGATTGTCTTGAGATAGTATATTTGGGACGAGAGCATATATTCTTGATCCAAGAAAATATGGAATTCGAGCAATATATTAATCAACTTGTAACAAATGTAAAATACATTAAAGGAAGAAAATATTTTCTTGTTCTGAGAATATATGTAGTCAAATCAATTGTTTCATTTGATTCATTCAAATCTTTGCAATATTGGATCAAGTAAGACAAGATTTAAATCAAAATATTATTTATATTGTGAGGAGACGATATGTTCTTGGTCCAAGAAAATATGGAATTCGTCTAAGAAGTTTATTGATTTCTAAGAAATGTAAAATATATTAACTCAAGAAAATATTTTCTTGACTTGAGAAAACTTATGGAGTTGAACCAAAAAAATATTTTTCCAATACAAGTAAATATTTACTTGAATTTACCCCCCCCCCCTCCTACACTCCTTCCTTATCCCGCCATGTCTAATTCTTAAGTCAAACATTTTTATTTATTATTAACATTTATATTTTTTATTATTTATTTAAATAATGTTTATTTTACATACACATTTATATTTAATTAATACTTAACACAACTAAAACAAGTATACCTTGAATGAAAATTTTTCACGGTCCGAGGAACTGAACCCGAGTTGCGCGCACCAAAGGCAGTAACGTAGACGACTATGCCATCCTGACTCATTTGATGGTTTTCAAAAACTGCTATTTAAGTTTCACATCCATTTGGAGAGAAATATTTTCTTGGATCAAGAATACGGGATTTGTATTAAGTAAAAAATTAATTCAAAGCAAATGCATAAAACTATTTGATTCAAGAAATGAAAATTCTTCAGACAATATTTTATTATTTTGCTTAATAACCTAATATTCTTAATTGAATACTTTTTGGTACTTCGGGAAAATAAAATATTGGGTTGCGATAATAACATATTTACTTCTGCCAAATACTAAATTCTTAATTCAAGAAAGATTATATAGAAATGCACTAAGTAGATAGAATATTTAGTTTAATTCGTGTTTATTTGAAGCAATATAACTTTTTATATAATTTAAACAAATATTTAGTTATATTAATATTCTGATTTTCTTGTCTCAAGACTATGAGTGTTGGATTAAGTAAAAACTGTTTTTAAAGTGAACAAAAAAGTGATTTGATTCAAGAAACTAAACGACTCCACGTACTTTACTTAACATAAGAACATAATATTCTTGTCTCAATACTTTTTGGGACTTCGTGCAAGTAAAATATTTTTTTTGAAAGAATAACATTATTTGCTTGTATGGAACTCACATTTTCTTATGTCAAGTACATTGCCCAATGCTAATAACTACTTGGCACAAGAAAATAAATTTCTTCCATTAAGATGATATTGGCTTGATTCAAGTAAAGTATCTCAAGTAAATGCATTTACTTGATTCAATGAACTTTTTTTTCAGTGTAAACAATACCTTTTTGAGGTACATGTGTCTC